TCACTCTGTAGTTGCTTGCATTAACTCTCATTTATTGTTATTTGTTTATACTAATTGGTGAAAAGAAACTTTGATAAACAGTTAATATATGTAAAATAGATTAACTTCTTTATACTTACTTCTCGACCTTCTCTCTGAACATTCTACATATTCATTTCATTAATCGACGAACAGTTTTGATTAAAACAATTTAATCTAAATATATCTATATGCTATTATATTAAATATATATTTTATTAAATATTTTCATATACTATATATCCTAAATAAAATAAAATAGAATTTCCCAATAATATAAAATATAATACAAATAATATAAGAACAACAAAATACAATAAAAAAAAATAGAAAAATATTTCAAGAAAAGGGAAATCGTAAAATGATTTAATTTTTTTTTAAGAATCGGATCTAAATTTGAGTCTCAAATATTTTTAATTTGCTATACATTCCATATTTTAATTACTAGAAAAATCAGTCAGATTAATCATTTTTGATATAATTTATTTTTCATAAGATATTCAAATCGATCTTATTTATAATTATTTTTCCATACAATATTTATTTTCTATTACTTTTACAAGATTCAAACAATTTCATACAGTTTTCAATATAGAAAATTCCTAAATATATATAATGGAATATATAATATGTAAAAATATAGAAATGCATGCATTGTTGATGTTTATTCAGCTAATTTCTATCTATCTAAATTGCATCTACTCCTAGTAATAAATGCTACGCCTCACTCTACTGTATATGCCTCTTACTACACTACATATAGCCCTATAACACTTATATTATTTCGCTGCTTCACAAAGGCAATTACCCACACCAACACAAGCATCTACGTGCAATCAGCTTTTATCTCGCATGCAGTTTGAATTAATGCTAATCAATATTTGATATTCTTCGCAGGTGAAACGATGCTATCGCCACTTGTCATGTGCGGGCCGCAGGGCCTTGAGTTTCTGGTGCCCGTGACGCTTAATATACCCCACTGTGCCGGACGCACTGCATCATTGGGTCTGGCGCTGAAGGCGACGGACAGCGAGAAGAACCTACATACCGAATGGGATAATATTGATTTGCCCAGCAATGCGGCTGCCCACACAGTGTCCGTCAAGGTGGACCACTTCTAGACAGTTTTACATAGCTATAGCACATTACGCATCCTCATTAACCACCCACATGCATATATACACATGGAATGAGCCGAACTATAATCACATACAATATTCTCAATTGTAAATAAAATCATCTAAATTACATTTAAGCCACAATTCCAAGACAAGCGCGCAACAAATAAATGAAACTTAGGCATTGATTAGAAAAAAAGGTTAATTTAATTGAAATTTTATTTGTTAATTGTGCCTTTAAGTGATCGAATGCTTCGTAACCAAGTGTCGTATAAATAACATAAGAAAACGAGCTAAATTTAATCAACAAAAAAAGATGAAAACTGTATAAAAATATTAGCTTATAGTTTCATAAAAACAATGTATATTTTAATGAAACTTATTTACTCTACTATTGTATTTTACAAGTTTACCTTATTGTAATCAAATTTTGATATTTTATTCGATGTAATTTGCGAATTGTTTTTTATCAGCGATCCGTTTTAATGCATTGCAAATGTTGTATACAAAAGAAATAATTTTATATAAACCACATAGCTACGTTTAGACTAAGGAAATGCCTATATAGCCGACAACATTAATATATGTATTAATATATATAAACAAAATTACTTTTTGTATGCAAAAAAAGATAAAAACACTTAGAAGCTTGGGAATAAATAAAGGAGCCACGACAAATATAAACAATAAACTCTTTAAAATTATTTCTGACAATCTTTGATTTTCCAGGAATAGAACCAAATAAGTAAGTATTAATTGAATTATTTTAACTATAACTTCTAATTCCTATCATCTTTAATAAACTTAAATGGATTTCTTTTAGACATTGTGTATGATTAAACGAGTTCTTTTATTTAGTATTTGTTTACTAAATTTTGAAGAATAAAAACGAAAGCGCAAATGACATTGTTGAAAATGTAGACAAATATGCGAAATATATTTTTAATAAATTTATAATGATAAATAGTAGCGCTAGGCATATATATATATGTATTCTGCAAATATATATACAAATGCATATATAAAGATTTATTTATTTTGTATTAGTTTTATATATTTTTATGTATAAGTGTATAATTTGATGTATAAGTGCACTGCTCGACAACGAAAATTAACAAAAGCTCGCAAAAGCACTTTTAATCTTATAGATTACATAGAGTGTATGCTTCCAGAGATTGAAAAATTAGGTTTTACTATTACATAACTAAACGCCAGGAAACAATCATAACAGTCTTGGAGTCCATGGGCTCCTACGTGGATGGCGTGGTCGTTGGCGTTGATGCGGTAACAGCAGTTGTCAGCAGCACCTCCTGTTCGGGTATAATGGATACAGCCTCCTTAACGTAGCCATAGATATGTTTGCGCGTATCATTAACCACATCGCGCACCATGGCCTGAAAGAAACTGCTGTGCAGCGGTGCCTCAGCGTAGCGCTCGTACTGATCGAGCGAGTCCTGTAGTTTTAATGTCAGATCATAGTTCTTGCGAACAACATCAAGTATTTGCTCTTCCGTCGGCGTGGACAAGCCCTGCTCGGCCAGCCATTCTTTAATTTTGTTTTGGAAGTGCTTCACAATGGCGAGTATATTCACAAGAGCATTCAGTAGCTTGATAACGTCGTCCTTATATTCGCACTCCGGCATTGTTGTATAGCGCAGAACTGAAACGAATAATAGATATTACTGTTTTAGACTACAATAACCTGTCTTCACTTACCCATGGCATGGATTTCTGTGAACACTTTTTCCTCGCGATTTAGCTCGTAATAGAGCTCGTCGTAGCTATTCGTTGTAGCCAGGAATGTGTCGCCGTACGTAATGAACAAATTGAAAATGTTGATTACTTGCAACGACAAGTGGAATATATTGCACTTTTTGACAAGCGTCTGCTCCTGGTTAACCAGAAAGCGCAAAAGTCCAATCAACGCCGACCACAACTCCTTCCAAGGATAATTAAGGCGAACGCGGCATCGTTTCTGATAACAAAGAATGCGATGTATGACACCAATACATAGCAAATACAGCTCCATGGGGAATTTCTTCATTAAATGCGACACGATGAACTCGACCAGCAAATCGAGTAACGTGGCAGCCAGAGGCTGCGATTTGCCCACGCGATCTACATTTAGTTTGCGATGACGCATTTGGGCGCGATGCAGCATCACCTTAAAAGTTAAGTTGCTGTCGTGCATCATTGAGTTTGCGTACTGATCCTCCGATATGCAGGTGAGTATTAGAAAGCAAAGCTTTAGATTTGCAATGCTCGACTCGTTTTTGTTGTCCTGCATAACAATCGAACTGTAAAAGTAAAGCAGAAACATTAGCCGCAATTACTTATAGATAGAAGTTTGACCTACCAATACTGAAAAACGGCAACGAGCAGGTTTGTCGGATACTGTGTCATGTCTATGATGGGTGCATTGGCCAAGTCAGGCGTTGGCTGCGTCAGACTCAATGTGTTGCTCGGCGATGGCGGTGCACTCGATTCCGTCTGAGGATGAGCCAGCGTTGTGATGAAATTACGATTGAGATGCACTGCCTCATAGAGGGCGAGCAATAGGCCGTTGTTAGCCTTGATCTGCTGTACACGCTCACACCCCTCGTCGGAGACAAACATGTTGCCAACCATGCTTGAAAGCGACGAAAACCATGAAGAGGATTGCACATTGTTTAAACTCTGTATGTACTGGCGGCAAAAATCAATCAGCGACTGCGAGATCATTTGACCATATCTAAAAAAAATAGATAACAAGCCATTATATTTGGCATTCCTTATCGAGCACACTCCAATAGTTATCTATGTGTAAAGCAGTAATTCATTTTTTACCCATTCAATGCCAGCTCGTCAGCCAAAATGGAGAGCTGCACCACATACGGATTGGTTGCCTCGTGCTTGCGATAATTCACCAGGATGGTAAGTAGTATAACAATATCGTGGCCATGTTGGGCACGAAACGTGGGGTCGCTTAACAGACGCACAAACGCATCGAACACGCTGTGCATCATGAGGTACTCGAAGAGCACATTCTGCCCAACATCCGTGCCAGTCACCAGCACCAGCAATAATTTAAGGCACATGAACCGAGCGTTCTCTGTGACGTCACCAAGCAAAATGCGATTGCAATATTGCATTAGCAGCTTCAGCCATTCATCCATTGTCTCGTGGCCAAAGATCTCGTTCAGTATGTTTGAGCTGGCATCTGTATTGCACTTTTTGAATATGCCATAAAAGAGCGAGCATAATGTTTGGAGACTGTTACACAGACGCTTGGGATGATCCTCTACAGAAGTTGAAGAGGAATTTATAAAGCTATTAATTTAAGTATTGGAAGTCTTACTTCTTGAGGTGTCGAGCATTTCAATGCATTTTTGGAAAAGCGTATTCAGATTCGGTTTAACCAATTGCAGCTGTTCGTTATTTAGTTTGCTGATTTGGTCCTCTAGGGATTCGAAGTTCGGTTGCAGCAGAAAGAACTCATTCCAGAACTCTGGGCTATCAGCGCTGGGATCCTCACCTCGACACAGCAACTCATAAATGTAAACAACCTACAAAATGAAAATATCAAAGATGTCCGGTATAACATTGTCGTGCAAACCTTTTCTTTTGGACGTTTTGTGGAACCACTGCCGCTCCGTTTTCGTGACGTCATGGTAACTGTGGAATAATTAAACAATTCGTTGTGGGTGTCAACAAGGAGTGAATATCAGGCTTTTGTTGCTACTTTTACTGATAGTTCGACATCAGCACCGTCACTTAATACACGTTCATGCCAATGAGCTAGATTGAAACGTGTAGGCAATGATGATTTTTATTAACACTTGCCAACACTGCTCGGCCAGCTGTTGTGCAAGTTGACTCCATTTTCGGAACCAGTTTTTTGTTCAAGTTTTAGGGACACAGGCTAGTTTGCTTTTATAAAACGCTCGATCAAACTAATAAATAATAATTTTACAGTTGAACACCGTAATACTCCTATGTTCAGCTTAACTATTCGTAGTTAGACAGGTACAAAATAGTATACTTTTTGCTGAACACGCAGACCAAAAAGACATCAGCTTGTCATTCTCAAAAACAGTAGCAGCAGCAACAACTTGGACAAAAAAAAGAAAAGAAGGTAAAAACATGTCCAGTCTGCCACGTCGCATCATAAAGGAGACGCAGCGCTTGATGCAAGAGCCTGTGCCCGGAATCAATGCGATTCCAGATGAAAATAATGCGCGCTATTTCCATGTAGTTGTCGCCGGTCCCAACGATTCGCCCTTCGAAGGTGGCGTGTTCAAGTTGGAACTGTTCCTACCCGAGGATTATCCCATGTCGGCACCCAAGGTGCGTTTCATTACAAAGATCTACCATCCCAATATCGATCGCCTTGGCCGCATTTGCCTGGATGTGCTCAAGGACAAATGGAGCCCGGCTCTGCAAATTCGTACCATACTTTTGTCGATTCAGGCGCTGCTCAGCGCGCCCAATCCCGACGATCCCCTGGCCAACGATGTGGCTGAGCTGTGGAAGGTGAACGAAGCCGAGGCCATACGCAATGCACGCGAATGGACGCAGAAATATGCTGTGGAAGACTGAAGCATCGCCCGCTCAACGTGCTCTCAAATCTTACATGCTGGGTGCCGGTAGAAAGGGAGGCGTAAAGGCCAACTTTTTTTTTTGATGACCAATTCGTCCATCGTCCCACACACAACGCAAAGCAAAGCAAAGCTAAACAACAACAAAACCGGTAAAAATAAAAGAGTATAAAAATTTTTTATAACACATTTTTTTGTATATTTAAATAAGTCAGTGTCGAAGATATGGAGATGGCGATAACAGTGAAGATATAATGATAATGCTATAATAAACTAAATAATACAAAATTCTATGTAAAACAATGCGTTTTATTTTTTAGCCTTATTAATAAATTGTATTAATGAATAACTTCCTTTTTTTCATCATAAGGGAGCTGGCAAATCTAAAAGTGCCCACAATAGGAAAGTACAATTAATATGGCACCTGAATAAAACCATTAACTAAAGGCCAAGCAAGAATTCATTAAATATCAAATAACTGGTATATGTACATACAAACATGCTTACTTAAGCACATATATACGCATACATTTATGCACGGAAGGAAAAATATTTTGGTTCTAGGAACCATGTACAAATAAAGCTTTTCCACAGTTCACGATTATTACAGGAGTTCATTGAACTAGTTCGATAGAAATTGCGTAGCAATCAGTGTGCTTAAGTTTTGTTCCTGTTCGTGCTGCTATTTCACAACAAGTTGTATTAAACTCGGTTGCTTCGTATAAAGTATATTTTTGAAATAAATATGTCTTTCATTAAAAAATCCTCGCGTCTTCTGCAATCTCAGCTGCGTCGAGTGCAGAGCGTGCCAATTGCTTTGTACCATGAAAATGTAAGTTTAAATACAATTTTTAGCCGCACGCAATTTCCTTTCGTAATATGTTTTATATTATACTCACACATACATACATATGCATTCACATTAACGATTTGTTTTCATTTTCTTTCGCACGCGGAAAGATAACAATTACGTGCTGATAACTAACCTGGCGCTTCTGTTGTACTTACAGGTAGTCGAGCACTACGAGAACCCACGAAACGTGGGCTCGTTGGACAAGAAGGACGTAAGCGTTGGCACTGGACTAGTGGGTGCACCTGCCTGTGGGGATGTTATGAAACTGCAGATCAAAGTCGATAAAAATGGCAAAATCATTGATGCCAAGTTTAAGACATTTGGCTGCGGCTCGGCCATCGCCAGCAGCTCGCTGGCCACGGAGTGGGTAAAGGGAAAATCCATCGATGAGGCGGGCAAGCTAAAGAATACAGATATTGCCAAGGAGCTGCGTCTGCCGCCTGTCAAGTTGCATTGCTCAATGCTCGCTGAGGACGCCATCAAAGCTGCCCTAGCGGACTACAAAGTCAAGCAGCAGAAGAATGAGGCGAACTAAAAATATATACTCAAGTTACATACAAATATTAGCTATGATAACCAACTAAGAGTTATCAATATTAGAAAAAACTATATACATATATACAATTATTTTGCATTGACTTTTAGATTATTAGAAATGTGGCTGTGTAAGTAGTTATATAAGTGTTTGCGGCATTCAGATTACAGTAAAGATCTTGTTTTACAGTTTGTGAGATTTGGGATGCAGGAACTGAACAATAAGGAGTAGCTGGAACTGATCCTAATTGAACGATCTGTGAATGTGTGTGAGTGCGCTTTGGAATAACTGGATCCCATCTGAACGATCATTGAATATGTGTTTGCTTAGAGGGTAGCTGACTACTATTAGCTACTTATCTATATTTTTTTTTGTGAATGGACAATATGCTTGCTGCGTGAATGAAGGCCAATTAAAATTTGTAGCTGTGCGAAATTCAAGCTTAATCAATAATCAATTAAATGTTTTAAACGATCTGAATATAAAATGTGTTTATTGATCTTGTTAATATATATTATAAGCTATTTTTCCAGTGTCGGTTGAAGGTTCGTTCGTCGCAATTCTTATGATAGACGTACGCTGACCCCGCCGCCGCACTCGCCCTTTGACTTGACCTCGAATGCTGCAAGTGAAAAGTGCACTTTAAATTCCATTTAAGATTAATTTTAAACCAACTCACGATCGTCGGCGTGCTGGCAGTTGTAATTGGCCATAACGCAGGAACTGCCGAAAGTTAAGAGACGCTCCTTGCTGCTGTTCTTGGCCCTAGCACAAACGGGCTCGTAGTCATCTCCGCAGGCGCGGGCACAGCTATTGACCACCTTCTTGGAGTCCTTGGCGGGGTTGGCAAGTACAAATGCCAACAGGCACAGAGCTTATTATCAGAAACATAAAATATATTATTATAAATGATGCCCTACTGCTTTAACGGACTTAGTTTCAAACTCATTCCTCGAATTGTCTATATGTATACGAAAACTGTTTTTGCTTATCTCTAAAGTTAGGAAGGTCAGTTTACTGTGAACTGCAATCTATATATGGGTTACTGAATTAGCGCTTATAAATGAAATTCGCTGGCCGATTTAGTCATCATTTAAAAATGTGCAGCAGTATTACCTGTAGTACTCTGGAATGACCATATAATTACAAAAGAATTCTTTTTATATTTGATTGCCTACAGAAGCATCCGCTGATTGTTATTTTAGTACAAACTCCACGCTTCTCTAACGTTTTACCAATACAGTAGAGACTCACAAATCTGGACGCAGCTGCGACTTTAAAAAATTTAAATTTTTTGCTATATACTATAATATATCTATCTAGTATATTAATTATAATTGTAGTGAGTCTAGCGATTAGCGAGGCTACACAGTAAATCGTAACTTACCCAGAATGGTAAACAGAGCAAAACGCATTTTTATATTTCCAGTATTCCAGAAGCTTTCAAACAATAAATAAGCAAAATTTGACACAAACCGGCTTTGAGTCGAGCTAGAATAGAACTGAATTCGAGACTGTGAGATTTATCACCTTTATATACAAGTCAAGCTCTGAACGTAGCTGTTGAACAATAGCCGTCACACACACACCTGCACATGTTGATAGGCATAAATATACATGTATGCATGCATGTGTGTGGGACTTAGACGACATCGCGATGATGGGAATCACTCATCCCACACTTAAATTACAGTGTATTAAAAAGTAGACAAGCTTTGAAGTGCATTTTCATTTGTATGGGTAGGTGAAAATGGCAATGGACGGGGACAACGACTGCGCCCGGGTCGATGAGAACAAATGGGAATTGGAATGGGAATGGGCAGCGTAAATGCGACACGCGTCGGATGGTGTCATTTAGTTTGAGGCGGTTATGGTGACATTTGCCTCCACCCCCTTGCTCTGAAGCTTCTATATAAACACTGTTACAAAAAATGTGGGCAATTATCAAATTAGCGAATTTAACAAATATGGCAAAAAAGACGTTTAGTTAAAATTATCTATATTTAACATCTTTAATCGTAAGCAGCATTAATAGAATACTTATACATACACGTATGTAAAGGCCATTTGAATTTTAATACCTAAAATGCAAACCTGTGAAGACGCAGTTTTGAGATCTACATTTTACAACTCTGGATTAAACCAATTTATACACATTTGCATGCTTATCGTGTGCAATGAACGGGAATCTGCCCCTCTGATCTAGTTCACGTGACGTTTCTACGCACCATAAGCAAATAAGCCCCTGCCTTTCATCTGCTTGAACTTAATGGATTTGTTTATCAAAAAGCTCTGATTGTCATTAAGATCGGTTTAAATTCAGTGATGTCATACCAGTCATTAAACTTTATAATGTCAAGATGGATTAAATCATAATATAGGACAATTAAAATGCATCATTTCCTTTTTCCTTATATAATAAATTTTATTACATTTTTAAGATTTATTTACTCATTTCAATAAGCCATTAAAAATTATATAATTTTGTTAAAAAGTCGATCAATGTTTTATTATTACTTGAGCTGTAAATTTGTTGAGTAAGCGTAGATTCTGAAAGAAAATAAGTTAAAAATTGTATGGTTAAAAAGAACAGAAAATGCATCATAACTTAATATATATATTAAAGTAGACATTTAAAATAAAACTGATATGAATCGTGAGTAACTATAAAATATTTGAAAAAGGCTCATTTTATTCAAATGAAATGGCCCCCAAGACGTATTCGGAAAATCGAACTATCGATACCAAGTATCGATATAAATAATGTGAGGTAAACGATGTTTTTCACATCTCTAGTTTTCGCAAACCCGATGCGTCATTTATGGTATTAAACGTTTGCGATTTCACAACAGAAAAGAAAGTTTATTTTTGTTTAATTATAAATTGATAGTCCTTATTGAAATATTTATAAAAGGTAACGTACAAGTCAAGGATCTAACGAGAAATTGAGCACATAATAGTAAACATTTTACCTGCTTGCAAAAAACTCAAAATAATGGAGGAATATATGAAATTGGTCGCCCAATACAAATGCGATATAAATGCTAATGTTGATGTAAGCAGCTCCGAGAGCGACACCGACTCGTACATATCGACGGAGCAAGCGGAGCGCCGTATTGCTGTTAGACAAACAAAATATGTTAACGAGGAGAGCGGAAAGCGCAAGTCCGGAACAGTACGGCTGCCCACTAGACGACCTGATCCCAACGTATACAACAGAAATGCATTGCTTGCCCGTGAAAATCGTCGCAAAAAGAAAGCGCACATGGAGGCAGTCGAGAAGGAGCTGAATGAAACGCGGATCACAAACAAATCGTTGCTGAAAGCGCTTAAAAAACAATTGAAACTAACGCAGAAGCTTGAAAAAGAGTGCCAATACTTAAAGGACACATTGGGTAACTACAAAGAAAACAAAAATGTAGCAACTCAACTAAATATGGGCATTTCATCACCGAATAACCGAGCTGTGTCGCCGGAGGGCTCCCTGGTATCAACGTATTCAAGCAGCAGCTACGAGCCAACCATGGAGACCGACTCCTACCCAGGCTTCCTGAGCGTCGACAATGGTAGTGTAGCCGCAGAACAATTTATAAACGAGCCGCCATCAAGTTCATGGAATGATTTTATTGATGGTTTATTAACAGATTATCAGCCTACACCAGCCTACGAAGATGAGAGCACCGCCCGATTCGTGGAGCAAAGCAGCCTTGACCTTCAGGAATGCCAGCCACTGGCAATTACGGACGAGCATAGTTATTTCAATAAGTTTGCGGAAATAGGTTACATCCCAGCCTGTGAGTGGAGTCCCAGTCGCACTCCGCCATCGCAGCTGCTGCAAGATGACGAATTTTTTATCAACACAGACAGCGGATGCATTGCAAGTCTATAGTTTAATTATTATTTTTTATTAACTACCTTAAGAAGTTTTAAACATAATTAGATTAAGGCACTCGAGCGCGTTCTATTTGTGAATCGATATAATTCTTTCCATATTGACAATTTTAAAACTTTATTAGCATAGCCCGTGGAGTTTATGATAGAACACCAGCCCACTGCAGCAGCCCTTTGGCTTCGACGTTTAAAATTTGTTTCACATTTTCAGGCCTGTGTGGAGGCGAGTTGGATATTTCATCCAGCACGCAAATGATTAATTTGAAGGTGGGTTTCTTCACAGGATCTGCAAATAGTAAAAGTTCCAATTGAGACTATGATCATCTTTTTGTGCCACTTTTTCAGTTGCGGCCAGAATTTAGGACGAAACTCGAAATCTAACGGATTTCCTCAATATATTTTGTTTCATGGCTGAGCCCTAAAGGAAGGAGAAGAGTTGCAGGCGTCAAGTGTATTAAATACAAGCAGGCGTTTTTTTTTATCTAATTAAAAAAGTGTCAAAATTATACTAATTTATTTGGATTCTGAAATGTTTCAGATATTTGTTATCACACAGTCAATGTAAGATTCCATTGATTTTAGTGGACAGTGAGGCATGAAACACCGGTATGTACTTCTATCATAACTCCTTAACGGCATATATTTTGTATACCTTGAATTATTATTATTTGTTGATTTTGGAAAGAATTATCGATACGATTTCATTAATATGCATTTGTTATTGAGCCCAAATAAAGCTATGACTACACAATATTTGTGATTATGAAAAAGGTGGTTTTTTTTAATAAATATTCTTATTGGGGGAATAAGGGGAATAGTCAAATCAAAGATTTGTTCAGGTATGCAGGTTTATATACAGAGTTTATTGTGAATACAAATTGTGTTTTACAAACGAAACTCAGAAACACATTTAAGCCTTTAGCAATTTGGCATGATATTCAACATGCTCGGCCACAAAGGTAGCTATATAGAAATAACTATGGTCGTATCCCTCCCGTTGCTTGAATATGGTCTGGATGTGATCGTTGGGAGCAGCTGCTGCTAACAGCTTTTCTGGCAGCAGTTGTTGGCCAGCGAGAAAGTTATCGGCCGATCCTTGATCTATGAAGAGCTCTTGTGGTGTGCTGGCGTATTTGGAGACCAAGCTAGTGGCATCCCACTGCGCCCAGTCGTCCCTGTTGGCACCCAAGTACCCAGCGAAGGCCTTTTGTCCCCATGGGCACTCTGATGGGTTTGCAATTGGTGCAAATGCAGATACGGATTGATACAAGCCGGGATTCTTTAGAGCGCAAATCAAGGCGCCATGTCCGCCCATGCTATGGCCGAAAATGCCTTTCTTTCCAGGCAGAACCGAGAAATTGGCATTGACCAACTCAGGCAATTCCTGCGTGACGTAGCTATACATCTTGTAGTGCTTGGACCATGGGGCTTCAGTTGCATCAACATAGAAACCGGCACCGCTGCCAAAATCGTAAGCATCATCCTGGCCGGGTAGTTCCACTCCACGTGGCGAAGTATCGGGGTTTACCACAATGAGGCCTTGGCTGGCTGCGGTTCGTTGGAAGCCGCTCTTTTGTACGAAGTTTTCGTGAGTGCATGTCAAGCCGCTCAAAAAGTAGAGCACTGGACACTCAGCTTTATCTTCAATTGCAGCTGGTGGTAGGAAGACACCAAAGGTCATATCACAGTCCAACACGCTGGAGTGATGTTTATAGACACGTTGCTCGCCTTCGAAGCATTTTGTGGTCGACACAAGTTCTAGCTTCATGTTCTGCAACCAAAACAGCTATAGTAACTGGAGTATAAATGAAGCAATATATTTACTTATGAAGATTGTATTAAAAAAACAAGTTTGTTCTCGGTAGGAATCAATGAGAAATGAACCAGTAATAATTGCTTGTTCTATACCGGTACGAGGGGTGAAAACTGGTTCCATATTACGCTGTGCAGCCCTGAAATTATATTTTGCACTTAGCTGTGCTGTAAAACGCCATTATATGCAAGAGTAAAGTTTTAGCAATATGCTAAACGTATATAAGCCGGCAACAATTTGAGTATATACAACAAATAGTTGATATTAGATGCAATATAATGTCTGAAGAGGCACCCAGTACCTCTAGCTTTGGCTTTAAGAAGCGATATGTTAATAGAAGCGCCGGCATGCGCCGAAAGAAAATCAGCAGCAGCAGCAACGATTCAGGTGAGTACAAAATTGGCGCAAAAATGAAAGGGAAATAAATTTCTAATAAAATGATACTTCGCACAGCAAAGAATAGCGACGAGGAGTCACAAAGTAAAGTCAGTGCCTTAGTTCGAGCGGAAAATCGTCGAAAACGTACAAATCCTAACTTTCAGAGCACCAAGACACTAGCCAAACGAAGAACGGATGCGGGCGGTGCTGGAAATTTATCTGACAGTGATACAGACTCTGCGGGCGATGCCAATGAAGTGCTGGTTGCATATAAATCGAAACGCGAAGGTATTCCCAATGGACCGCAAGATCAGGGCGCAACTTCCATAAACGAAGTAGACACGGAGCTGGACCGTGATGCCCAGGCAATCCACGCACGATCTGTCAAAATTAATGAAGAACTTGAAGGAAAGGCGGACGATAAGATATACCGTGGTCTCAATAATTATGCGCAATACTACAAGAAGAAGGACACGGCTGCTGGCAACGCCAGTTCCGGCATGGTACGAAGTGGACCCATACGAGCACCAGCCCACCTGCGTGCCACTGTTCGTTGGGACTATCAGCCCGACATATGCAAGGATTACAAGGAGACGGGCTACTGTGGATTTGGCGACAGCTGCAAGTTTTTGCATGATCGCAGCGACTACAAAGCCGGCTGGCAGCTCGAAATGGATCACGAGGCGCAAAAGAAGGGCGAATGTGATTCGGATGGGGATGATACTAAATACGAGATCCATTCGGATGAGGAGTCCTTGCCATTCAGATGTTACATATGCCGAAAAAGCTTTGTCAATCCTGTAGTTACCAAGTAAGCATTTACAAATATTATAATATGCGTATGCTGATTAATCTAATTTTCTTTTCTTTTCTTTCTACTATTTCAGGTGCAAGCATTACTTTTGTGAGAAATGTGCTTTGGCTCAGTACAAAAAGTCGCAGCGCTGCATCATTTGCTCACAGCAAACCAATGGCATTTTTAATCCTGCCAAGGAGCTGATAGCTCGTCTCAAAACTGAACCCATGGAGGAGCTCGAAGGTGATGATGAAGATATCGACAACAGTCATCATGACAATAATAGAGCGCAGGAGGTGAATGTATCCTCCAGTAGCGATAGTGACTCATAAGGTTGTTTTTAAAAGTTGTTAAATTCAAGTTGTGTAAACCTAGAATTAAGTATAATCGAGTTGCTCGTATTCGGATTTGTTGATAAATATAATAATAACTGTTTAGAAATAAATAATAAAATAATAAATAATAACTTTTTTAATTTGATTTGTTGTCTTATTACTCCAAATTACAAAATTATTTCTTCTTTCTTTTTTTTTTCTGTTGATTGTTGCTCTTTTTATTCCATTTGTTTTTTACCTTTCCTTTTGCTCCATTTTGCCTTCGCGCTCCTTTTTTATAGCGTCATTCGCTTGAGCCGCAACAAAGTTGAATTATACGATTACCTGATTCTCATCTGGTTGCTTGTCTTCCTCTACTGAAACCATCTTTAATGCATAGCGCTTAAACATTAGCCCAAGGTCTAACTACAAAACAAAGTGTAATTTAACGTTCATTATTCAATCGGCAAAAGTTTCAGTAATGCTCCTTGTCGCCTCGTCAGTCCGTTGGGAACTGAACCTGCTGGGGCTGATTGCATATTTGGCTGCTTTTCGGCCGCAACAGTTGAGTAGGAAAAACAAGTTGTGCTTGAAAAGAATTCCTTTGCCATTAAGGACAGCAATCAGAAAGCTTTGTAAACTTGTTTGCCTTTCATTGTTCAGCGCATAAAACCAAAATATTGCCAATATTCGTTGCGTGGCGAGCAGAGGCTAGGCCACAAATTCTGCCTGCTCGACGCACGCAACATACGAGAGCGCATAAGTCGCAAAAACAAAGCCAGCAAAAGGAAAATCTATGCTTACACTCTGCTCGATGCACACACACAAATCACTTTGAGCTGCCCCAAACGTCAAGCATGGTCCGCTCAACCCGACGTTAGTTCAATGAATTTGCAAGCAAAGTTTGTGGAATAGTTGCAACTTCTGAATAGCTAATTGCCAAGTCTTTTGGAAGCTTCGAGAGTGAGATGAAGTGCAAATAGAAAATAATTAAAAGATCATACAACTAATTGACAGTCATTGAGATGAGCTGTACAAATTTCCTGTAAGATATAAGAGCACGCCCTAGAAGTGCTAAAAAGTATGCTATAATAAATTGAAAATATATTTTTATTTGAATGAATGCGAACTTAGTAGCGTAACAATATGTAATTCTGGCCTGATTACCTAAGCTTTAAATATTCTAATTTGTCTTTAGTTTTAGCTGCAATGCCCTAAGGTTTTACGACTTCAGCCAATTGCCTGCTTTGATCGCCAGCTTTGTTTGAATGCTGATTTTGGTTAAAACTTTGTTGCTTTCTGTGTTTTCAAAATTTAACTAATATCTTTACACAACATTTACAACAGCAGATATAATTATATATTTACATATTATATAAGATTTAAGCAGATTTTAGTTGCTTATTGAATCAAGTTTTGAATGAATTCAAGGCTTACTTCAGACTGCATTTTTGATATTTTAATGACGCTGAGTCCATCCTTAATAATGATTTGTGTTAGTTTTTGAAAATTGAAACTAATCTGATGTTGAAGAATAATTATTAAAGTATTTAATCATAGTCTTGCACCAATATGATCTAGAATTTCGCACTGCTCGCATAATTAATAAAATTCTGAATCAGAACAGCTCAACTTGAGACGAGCCACAAATAGAAAACAAAAATAAGCCACAAAATGTACAAGTCACGTCCTCTCACTTCTTGTCACTATATTGGCTGCCAGGTAGAGAATAATTGAATGACAAAGTCGTGCATGACAAACGAAAGGAAATTGAATGGGCAGAAGATTTCTAAGCGTCGACAGCTCCAATATAATTGACGACAAATCAGTTTTAATTATTTTAATAAACTCGCACACGTGTTGACTGACATTTAATATCGCAGTTATTGGGTAAGATGTCATTAAACAGCTCGCACACGTACTCAACTACAGCATCAACAACCAGAGCAGAAGCTATTTTAATAGTCTCACTTCAAATTGCTGTTCAATTAGCAAGTGGAATGTAGTACAATGTCCTTTCGTTTTCTCTTCTTATTGGCCTTTTCGGTTAATCAAGTGTTCTAGAAATGCCATTTGACAGCTCCAAAGGCAGCAGCTCTCATTGTCATATTTAAGCTAATTATTCAGAAAACTGTTAATTGAGTAAAACATTGCAAATTAGGAGTATAAAAATTAATTTTCAAACAATAAGCCTTTGGCTGTTGACTGATTCAATTAAAATTATAATTTAATGAAATTTCTGGAAATTCACAAAATATACAGGCGTTGCAATTTGTATACCCTCTTATAATGGATAAGCAGGCTAGTTTGATTTTTTGTAAGTAACAGGCAGAGGGAGGTGTGGCAGGCTGTGGCCTGACCTGGTATATCAGGACAGTCGATTTGGGCTCTCGCTTCGCTTGCTTCCTCAGTGCGAATGCATAAGCTCGTCGATTTCAGAAGGTAAAAAAATCTTTGAATTTTTTGATAAAAGTGGAGTACTTAACTTTTAGGTTAACTCCATTGCTCAAGCCTGAACAAGTAGATTACGATTACGAGTATAGGAACATAAGAAGCCGACTGTGGAGTATAGTCGGCTTCTTATGTTCCTAAATACCATGAGAGACTGTAGCAATAGAAATAAATTATTATGGGATGTTTATTTGGAAGAAGAAAGTTCTCAGTTGATAAGATATATAAGATATAAATAAAACAACGAGCAATTAAAAAAAATATTTGTAACTCAAACACTATCAAACCATTAAGAGAAAAGCAATTGACATTTCTCTTCTCTTTATATTTGATATATAACTTAATAAAACTTCTTCAATATTTATATATACATTATTTTATTTTTTTGTAGGACATTGAAAGCACACCTCGTCCACTTCCATATAAGACCAACTGATGCTACGTAAATACATTCTCGTTGCGTATACTCCGCATGGCCCGGTCATTCCAAATAGTATTTGTGTTTGTTCTCTTATTTATTGGCTTCTAATGTCATTGGCTTTTATCCCATGGCCAATGTCCGATGGCGTTTCCATCGACTGAAACAGCTCAGAAGCTCAGCAGCTCAACTTGTCGTTTATTCTGTCAATTATCATTAATTTCGAAATGCTCCTGTCTTCGCCAAGGCTGTCGCACCTTTTGCACGCCTCCCAGCGACGGGCAAAATTCACAGATCTTCCTGATTTATATTCATTGTGTTTTAATGGCGCTTCTTGTTTCATTACACTGACATGTATTTAGATTTCTGAAATACATATTTTAAATAAACAATAAAAATTAAATGGCATTTTTAAATGTATACAATCTCATACGATAAAAATCCACAACTTAACTTGGTTTTTTAAGCATAGCTTGCATACCGTAAAAGCTAGAATTTTCAGATTATCTATGTGAGTCCGTGAGATATGTAGATTTCGGATTATGGATACATCTCCCTTCCTTTCCAAATCTACCATGTCTTATCAATCCTAGAGACTTGGAAAATATCATACAGATGACATTACTACACTTAAAAAATTACAACAATTAATTTCTCATAGTATGTGGAAATATACGGAAAAATCCGCATTTGCATATACATGATGTATGATATGATCGACCTCGACAAAAATCAGATTCCAGGTTACTAAGTATTTGATTTGGGTGATTGTTTCTGATGCTTTAATTGCACAAGAAACTATTCCGAGCATTGGATATGTGTGAATATAGCTTAGCAGAAAACATAATGCCACAACTGGTCTAAATAAAAGTGAGTGGGTCGATAAAAAACAGTTACTAAGCCGAGGTGACAGAAGTTTGGCCACACAATCATAAAGTGCACGAAAAGTTTGTGAAAATAGGCGAACCGAAAGAAAAGAAAGGCAAGTCGAAATGAGAGCAGCGCAGAATGGAAATCGACAAACATCAATAACAAAATTGGCGTAAACGGAAGAGTAATTTTATTTCCCTTTCTTTTTCGTTTTCTTTTTTTTTGAGTATTTTTCTTTGCTGTTTTCTCTGTCCAGTTGCTGCAGCTGTATTTGCATTGCGGCTAACCAGAGACAAGAATTTTTGTGGTTTGTTTTGAAGAAAACTTTGAAAAGTTTCTCTACTTGATGTTGGCTTTGTTACAGCTGTAAGTGAAGCGATTCATCCTTTTCTACTTCTACTTCTACTACTTCTACTTCTACTACTACTTCATCTTAATGTTGTTGGCTTTGTAAGCGCAGCGAGCTCTGCTTTGCCTGCACTTCCTGCACATCCTGCTCTTCCTCTTGGCCGTCTGCCAAAATAATAGTCGGAGCGCAAGTGTCAGAGAGTCTGACCAACCTTTTGGCTCAGCATTGCGAATGTTGTTATAAATGAAAGGCTCCGCCAGTAGCTGCGTGGCCCGGGCTATTGGGAACTCTTATCAAGCAAATTGTAAAAACGCAACTTTTCGCATAACTTTTGCCATCGCTCGGCAGCACAGAGCTCTCTTTTATCGCGCTCCCTGGAGCTGATGGATCAATTTCGTATGTATTTGCCCCGTGGGAAACTTTGCTCTCAGCTCGTTTGTCACGCAGCACAATTTATAATTTAATTTTTGTGTTTTTATTTTCCCAAACATATAGTATTTTTTGTCGCTCTCTTGATTTTTTAGCTTTAATTGCCAGACATGCCTATATAAATAGCATATATATGCACAGAATAAAGCCTGTGTGGATAATTGTTTGGCACTATTAAGTATAAGATTAATGTTTTTTGATTGCGGCGGATTAATTTGTTGCATTTTGTGTACGCATAGTTGACCATTCGGGTTAATTTATAAAATAATTATACAATTATGTGCTCAAAGCCAGCCAATAAATTGCAATATAATTGGAATGTCGCTTATGCCAGAGCACTTTAAATTGATCAGCAAAATATAATGGGCTTAAATTTGCAATATTTACTTAAAGAGAATGTGTTTCATTTTATTTGCCTTTAAGCACTCTCCTTTTGTTTTCCTTATGCCTGGAACTCATTTTTCCAGAAAGTTGAATTTAAAAATATCATTAACTAGAAATTTGAATTATGAAACATATTTAGTCAATGATGTGATTTT